TGCACGAACTAGAATTATACATCACTTCTTGGTCTCAGTAATCCCTAAATCAATTAATTGTTGCGCAGACAATTAAAGCATTAAACACACAATAATTAATTAACTAGTATTAAAATGACAAGAAAATATTACATTTAAACATATAATAAAAATCTTAAGTTACGTCATCAATCTTAACAATAAAAATATTTAGTTACTCATAATATTGAATTTAAACATACAAAATTGAAAAGACATCACCAAAAATTGACGAAACGTGAAAATTTCTGCTGTTTTTATTTTCTTTCATTTTCTTGAGGCTGCCTGCCGGCTTCCTGTACGTGAATATATAGAGCTTGTTTGGGAGAGATTTTTTGGGGAAGAATTGATTTTGAATAGTGATATGATGGAAAATGTGTGGTTGAAAAAGAAAATAAAGTTATTGATGTGATGTAAAATATTATTTTATTGAAGAATGTGTGGTTGAAAATGAGAATTGATTTACTGTAAAAAAATTTAATCTCTCCCAAACAGGGCCATAATAATACTTGCTGCACCTATCCACTTCCTGCCCGTTTGTATGTGTAAATATGAAAGAAAATTCAGCAGCCCACCATTGTCGACTTCTCAACTTCTTTCAATTCTGTCTTTTCCGGTTTTTTTTTTCTTCTTTGTCTTTCTTTCCAGCACCTCTTTTGGCCTTCTCCGAAACTGCCGGCTCGTGTACGTGAATGAATATAGATTTTCAGCCCCCTGTTTTCTGCAAATTTCAGCCCCAAACTGCTGACCTCTCCTGCTTTTTCTAGGTATATATTATTTATATATAGCAGCCCATGTTTAGTACAATTTAAAAAACCCAACTTGAGGTCCAATAAATCCAATACCAAATTAAATGAATTCTTATTTTCAAGTCATCAATTCTTTTGTGTACTGTCATTTTCCAGCTATTTTGCATTCTTTTTTTCAATTTTTCATTAAATATAAAGTTTTACAGAGAAAATACAATTTAACAAAAAATAGGAAGAATTTAATTTAAAAGAATAAAATATCATAATTTAGCGCCAGGAATAAGTATGAAAACTACACTTATCAAGTAGCACCCAATATATACATAGTGAAATTATGAGAAATTTACGAATAAGCAAACTTTTTTATTAATGAGCGTAAAACTTTGTCCATGCATGGCTCAAACTCATATGCCCTACTCAACTACAATTTGGCAATTTGCTCAAAATAACAAATATCCAGCTACTTGCCCAATAATGTTATCCAGAATCTACGCGTCTATATAAAGTACTAGCAACTCCTTGCCATTGATATCATCCAGAAATATATCACCATCATTTTTTATTTATCATTTTTCTCTCTTTGGGATATTATAAACTTCTTGTATTATGGATCAGTATGTTGTCCAAAAATCATCTCCGCCTAATGCACCGTTAGCCAACGGCAAACTACCCCCCAAGGGCATACCACTGCCCCATGCTCGTGTTGGTACTCAAGGGGAGTGGTCGACTGGTCTATGCGACTGTTCTTCTGATGTATCAAATTGTAAGTTGATTTTCGAAAACATTTAACTCTCTTTCTACTACTTTTGTTTAGTTTATATTATATCTAGCATACTAAACATACCTTTAAATAATTACATCGTAGAGACTACTCAAAAACAATTTCACTTTTTTTGTCATGAAAAGTCATTTTTCAGTTATTCGTAGACAAATGTTTCAAAGCAAAAAAAATTGTCGCTAAAAGATAAATTTCTTGTAGTGGCAATTATGTATTATAAACCTCTTTTCTAATATATTTTCACATTTGCAGGTTGTGTAACATGTTGGTGCCCGTGCATAACATTTGGTCAGATTGCTGAGATTACAAGTAGAGGATCAACTTGTAAGCGAAGAGATGTTTTCCATTTCAAGAGAGGATCCTATGAATGACAATTTTTAATTTTTACGACTAAAAATCTGTACATTTCCTTATACATTTTAAGAAAATTTCAATCATAGATATAAATGTTCATGAATTTTGCGTGACAGCTTGTGGAGCGAGTGGAACACTTTACACTCTTCTAGCCTTGGTTACGGGATGTGCATGCATATACTCTTGCTTTTATCGTTCTAGGATGAGAAAGCAATACATGCTGTCAGAGGATCCTTGTGCGGATTGTTGCGTTCATTTCTGTTGTGAACGTTGTGCATTGTGCCAAGAGTATCGNATACTCTTGCTTTTATCGTTCTAGGATGAGAAAGCAATACATGCTGTCAGAGGATCCGTGTGCGGATTGTTTAGTTCATTTTTGTTGTGATAGTTGTGCATTGTGCCAAGAGTATCGGGAGCTCAAAAACCGTGGATTTGATATGTCTCTTGGTATTAATGAACTTTCCTTCTCTCTCTACAAACATTATACAATTGCATAATTATGCCAATAATTTGACTTCTGCACTTAGAAAACATCTGTTTTTTTTTTTTATTATTATTATTTAAAAATAGAAAAATATAGTTTTATAGATAGATAAAAGAAAAGTAAAGGAAAAATAACTTCTAGGAGGTCTTCTTCAAGGGTTGAAAAGGATAAAATGACTTTTTTTATGTTTCATTAAAAATGTCATTTTCTTACTTGACTAGGTCGAAATAACAGTGAATGTTACGTACGCTCCCTCTTCAAAACTGTCTCTAAAATTATATGTACATATGGACGAAACCTATCGTTACCATCTGCATGACTAAGATATTTGTGGCTGCTGTGAAAATTTGTAGGATGGCATGGAAATATGGAGAAACAGAATCCTGGAATTACTGTGGCACCAAACTTTCAAGGAGGAATGAGTAGATAAGCCGTTGGCTTTTGCTATCCAATATTTGTACCGGTGGCCAGTATATTTGGTGTGACAGACGTTTTTTCCTTCTTGCGTGTGGCTTGGGCGTGAATTATGTAATGCTTACTGTTGATTCATTTCTAAGTAATGTATGCAAATTCCATGATCCAAGAAGCATTAATGCTTCAATAAATTTCTAAATATTTCAGTTTGTATCAAAATCTTGCACCAATTAATAGATTATATTATTGCCTTCTGTGTTTAAAATTACAAATCTCTCTATTTATTCAATTTAACAGAGCAGTAGAGGAGTTTTGAAAATGATAATTTATTTTAAATTTCCTTTGTCGAAGTTTGTTTACATATATTGTATATTGTGAGCAAATTACAATAACAATTAAGGGAACAATGAATTGGTGTTTCCTATCTTTTGTGATGAGTGCAAGGGTGTTGCACATAACAAAATAAGGCTTTCTGTAACTACTAGAAGGCCATTCACAAGGGCTACCTACCCGTAATCTACCAGGGAGTCATAAAATATTACTATAAAGGCCATTATAGAACCTTTTTTTTATGACATATTCTTAATTAACTTTGACAATGTTAATGTTAATAGCTTTAATAGATCAATCATGCTATAAGTACAGAAAATTATGACGGACAACGTATGGCATAGAATTATTAGAAGATAGAAAAAACAGGCGAATCAAATTCCGCCACATGTGCATGTATATGGATTTGATAAGGAATTCCCTTTACTTATGGCTTTTTCCTTCATAGAATAAATTGTTTACTTATAAACTTCTTGTATTATGGATCAGTATGTTGTCCAAAAATCATCTCCGCCTTATGCACCGTCAGCCAATGGCAAACTACCCCCCACGGGCATACCACTGCTCCATGCTCGTGTTGGTACTCAAGGGGAGTGGTCGACTGGTTTATGCGACTTTTTTTCTGATGTATCAAATTATATGTTGATATTTCATTTCGAAAACATTATACTAAACATACCTTTAAATAATTATATCGTAAAGCCTACTACAAAAACAATTTCACGTTTTTTTTTTTTATCATGAAAAGTCATTTTTCAGTTATTCGTAGACAAATGTTTCAAAGCAAAAAAAATTGTCGCTAAAAGATAAATTACTTGTAGTGGCAATTATGTATTATAAACCTCTTTTTCTAATATATTTTCACATTTGCAGGTTGTGTAACATGTTGGTGTCCGTGCATAACATTTGGTCGGATTGCTGAGATTACAGATAGAGGATCGACTTGTAAGCGAAGAGATGTTTTCCATTTCATGAGAGGATCACTACAAAAAAAACTGCATCCA